TTAACGTATATTTCAAATAGTATAATCCATTTTAAATAAGAGATTCTTTGGTAAATGTCACTGCCAACCAAGCTACAGATTGACCTCGCTTTCCATCTTTCTGTCTAAGTGCCATCCTCATCAAAACTTAAGGAAATTCTCTTGATTGAAATAAGCCATTCTAATTAAGATAGTTTTAGAAGATTGTGATAAAATAAGTCTGAATTCAGGGGATTTAAGGCGGCTCCTTCTTGACAGTTCGTTAACTTAGACCAGATTAATTTAATAGTTAAAAATTTTCTGAATCCAATAGTATAATTATTTATGTCACTTACTCAGCAAAACTTCAAAATATTATTATTTTTATGTAGCGCTTTCTAACACGTATTATTATGGTGGAGCTCGCACACTCGATGAAAGTAACCTTATAACACGGATGACGAGACTAAGACATTTAAAAGCAAATCAAATGCAAACTTAATGCTTACAAGGCAGTCTATTTTAATTTGTACTTCTACTTGCTTTTTATTTGGTAGGAATCCATTAAAAAAAAAAAAATCATATGCTCCCACTCAAGACTACAATATATTTAGTTACTTCTGTAACAAGCAACGTGACTGGAATTCAGCGAACGAGGAGACAGCCTACGCGAACGCACGACGACTCATCAGGGTCAGGACGAGGAGGAGACGGCATGTACGAACGCATTGTTGCTTAGCAGGACTAGGATGACGGGACAATACAAAGAAGCACACGAGATCGTACGTGAGCTAGAACCGGAAGTGGCTGTGGTGGTGGGGGCTCATTGTCCGAGCCAACTGGGTGATAAGAGATAGGAATATGGCTTAGTGCATGAGATCGTGTGGGAGCTAAGGTTCTTCTTTGCCACGGCACATTAGCTCATTTCAGTTCAGACGTCACTGCTTATTTTAGCCGTTTGGAGTATTCGCTAGAGCTGTTTGCTTTCTCTGCCGTAAGTTAACTTTTACACGAATTTCCAATGTAACAAAGTTTTCCGGGTTTTGACAAAAAATGCAGCTGACAAAAACAGATTCGTGCAGAGAAATAAGACATCTTTAAAAAATTATTCAATAAAATCTATAATTTATTATTAACCAAAAATGTGACTCTTCTCTATGGTAGTAAATCGCTAACTTCATGTCTTTAGCAAGTTGAGATCAGTAAATTTTCTACAACATGACAATGTTTGTCATTATATTCCAACACATTTCTCTTATTCCACTATACATGCAAGACAAAAAACTTTAACAGATTTCACGCAAAAATGTGTTTTAGATTGATTCGGAATACCTAATTAAAGAAATTTTCTATTGGTACGTAAAGTTTTCATTATGTACATCAAAATTAATCGTCAAGATAGTAATTTTCAGAGAGCTGAGTACTTCTAAAATTTTTTACTTTCAAGTAGTAATTTTAGTTTTCCAAAGTTAAAGTCTTTAATGTGAGATGCACTGTCGTACTATTGGTGGTTTTGATTGAATTCAATTAGTTATATTTTTTTTGCCACATACAAATTACTTTTGCAGTTTCAGACTACCACTTGTCTCATTATCGTAATTTTTTGTCACAATCGCTACATTATTTAATTCACACTGAATAGACATACTACAAAGTTTTTTGAAATCGTTAACTTACGTTGTAATATCTCATAAATTATGATACTTGCTTGATAATCACGATGCATTATTGATTTAAAAATAAAAAATTCTTTTAAGCTGGAAACTTGGTAAATATACCTGTTTTTATTAGAAACCCGGGGACTTTTACTTCTATCTGGCCAAGTTTTAAAAGTATACGATATTTAAAGTAGCCGCTACAAGTTGAAAGCAGAAGTATCGTACCTAAATTTATACTGATTCTATAATAGCTTTTTTTTTCTTAATGACGAATACATGACCATAATCAAATACATTTGGTTGCAATCCTTCAAACTACATATTGTTAAGGTTTTGTAACAGTGAAAATGGTATTTTGTAAATAACATGAGAAATTATTGTGAAAAATTTTTGTCACTCAGCTTGTTTAAGGATTTTGTTTAAACTTATCACTTCCAATTAATTTAATTAAAATACTTTTCTGCCCTAGGGCCCAAAGTGATTAACTGGGCGCAAAGTGTGCCCATGGGCGCAAAATTGCACTTTGCGCCCTCGGTAAGAAAAACATCATACGTGACTCAGGCATCAACATACAACAAGCATGCCCTTCGGGCGCTCATGTTTGTACTTTGTGTCCTAGTCACGTAATGTACCATTTTTCAAGTTATCTTGCAATACTATAAGTGTAGCTCAACTTGCACATGCTAATTGTTTTTATGGGTTACCATACACTTTGAGATCTTTTATGTATGCAAAGTTTTAAGAGTTTCAATCCAAAGCCCCCAAACCCAAGTTTCTTAAACTTTTAATCTCTGCTGAAAACATTGGACTTCAGGGCAAACAATACAAATTTAGAGTTTATAGCCCTACAGAAAAATAACTGCAACTGCTTTCTGCGTTTAAAAAAAAATATACCTATCAAAGGAATACTAGGTTAATTTTTAACTTTTAATACTTGAAGACAAAAAAATTTCAGACAGCACATTACTATTTATCGAAGCTGGAAAACTAACTTAAATTTCATCTAAAAATGGGTTTAAAATATTCAATATTAAGAATAAATACTGTACTGCTTTAATAGATATATTTCTAGATGTTAAATATGAATGGTGCGACTTTATCCACACGCTAAAGTGCTTTAATTCATGGATTAAAATTTTTTTTGCTATCCAATTAAGAATTTACATGGGAGTTTGACCAGAAATACTAAGCCAACGGGGGAGGGTTACAAAGGCGTTTCTCACCTGAAATACCCGATAGTAAGGTCACCCAAAAGCAATTAAAAAGCTGTAAAAAATTAACTCAACAATTAAATTAATAGATTTTTTTGCTCCTACTTACGCTGAGGTCGGTTTTGTAAGAAAATGTCGTTTTTGAGGCTTAGCCTGTGTTTCAAACATAAGAGGCAACTCTAATAGCAACAAAGATCAAAATACACAATACATAACTTGTTAAAGTAAAAGGAATAATTTATGACTTACTGTAGTAATAAAAGTGACAGCAAGTTGGTACGTGCTACGCGCACGAGAAGACTAGATGTGGCGTACCAGCGTGCGGTTTCGACTCACCTTTGTAAAATATGATCAAAATAACTTGACAGAATTTAAAACCTCTTAATCTGATTAATGTAACGAGTTCTTAAATAATTTTTTTAAACTATTTATTTCACTTATTTTACATATTAAAAACAGAGAACAAATTCATTTAATTTTTATTTATATGCAATTAAAAGTTGTAAATTTAATGGTTGGTAAACATAAAAATAGGAAAAAAGTTTAAAAATAAAGAGGTGTACAAAAATATGAAACAATTACTCATATGATATAAAATTGAATGCACTTCTTTTTTTATTGCATGATAATTTTTTTATTGTACTTAATTTAATCAGCACCAAGACTTTTGATTCTCTGTTCTTGTTCAAACTCTTTTTCTCACCATCTTATAATAAAATTTTTACTGTTAGGTATACTGCAAGAAATTTAGATGTAAAAAATTGAAGGAATATTAACTGCATGGTTTCTTTTAAATCGGATACAACGAGATAAGATAAAGTCTTTCTGCAGATGTGTGTCAAGTTTAAAATACTTCGTCATTAAGCAGATACCTTACTTTGGAGTGCTAGAAATAAATATACTTCTAAAATAAACTTCAGGTCATTCGTACAATGCTTTGAGTATGAAAATAGGATTGCCTGATCTTTTTCTTTACATTGCTTAAACTTTTACGTCCATCGTTATCTTTAACACCTGCACCCCGAACATTGCAAGCATTTACTCCAAGTGCTGCGATATAATAATACCACTGTACGTCAATATTAAAATATTTAAAATGCATTCGCATGTTTCCCATTAGTAAACTATTGCCAAAACTTCAGTTGCACTGTAAAAGAAAAAATCGAATGTATCAGATATTCTCTATTTTAAACAAGGGAAATGATTATATAAAAATAAAACGATGTAGAGAGTCATTGAATTAATCAGATTTCGGCGTCTTGATTGTTATATAAGGTAATTCTGGTTTTATTTTACGAAACTAAATAAAACAGCATGCTGGCACATCGCATTCAGTCGTCCTCTGCGCGTTTCATGCACAGCCCCACTTTCGCTTTGATTGCTACAGTAAGTCTACAAATCATTTCTAGAGCTTAAAAAAAGTTATTATTAATAGATTTTGATCTTTTCTATTAACAGGTATTATTTTTGCGATTAGAGTTAGCCCTCACGTTAAATAGTCAGTTGGAACTTTAAAACACAATTCTAACCTTAAAACCTTACCAATTTTTATATTTAGTTCAGTTTATAAATCTTTTTTAATTGCGTTTGAACCACTAAACATCGGGTGTTTTTGGTAAAAAAAATACGCTGCCTAAGCTCTCGGCAGTCCGTTATTTTTAGACAGACTCATGAATGCTACATCTGATATATTTGCATAAAATAAGAAGGGAAGAAACAGTTCATGTCGTAACCAAGCTGTGTTTCCTTAACTAAACAGATTAGTAAAACAAGTAAGTAAATGTTGTATATCACGGTACGAGACCAAGTGAGCATCGCTTTGAACTTTCTCTAAGGAGCGATACTTATAATAAAAATATTGTCTAAAATATTGCTTACAGATTTTGAAAAACTTTTAAAAATTAAAGATCTTAGAACAATAAGCGAAATATAAAGTCCAAAGCTCCAGCTTTTCTAGTACACCTTCAACAAGATATTGAGATTACACACGTAAATTTACGTAATGAATGGTAGCGGAAAAATAAATAAAAACACCACTCAAGAAATATAGTTAGTATTAAAGTTATATCCTATTTCTTTTTTACTGCTACTATTTCTTAGATTATCATGGCCAATCAATAGGTAGTCCAGTGTGAATTGCATTTCTTTACCATAATTTGCTGTGGTGTAACAATCTACCATTAACATGACACTACGATATCCCATAGAGTAAGTGTAATAATGTTAATTAAAACATAGTAATTTATTTTCATCATCAAAATTATACTACGGCACAGTTTTAAAAATAATAAAAGTTCTTACTTAACACAGATAATCACCAAAAAGTAGAAATTAGACAAGTAGAATATCAAAAGTAGTTTTTTTTAATTTTTAATTTTTTCATGTGATTTTCCTCCAAACATTTTTTAACAGTGGCAGTTCTATATCAATAAAGATATTTTATTTTTTGTAAGACTTTAATAATTCTGTTATATAGCACATGCTATCCAATTTCCATTTTTAATACATTTAAGAATTTTTCTAATTTTTCATACAGACGCTTTCAATTTTATTGCATTAACTCAAACGAACGAGCTTTCGTAACCAATAGCAGTTTTGTTCACTAAATTTCCGTTTAAAGGGTCTAAATCATCGATGAAGTTGAGCCAACTTGTAGGTTCATTATATCTATGTGGCTGGTGGTTCTGAAAGAAAATTGGATGTTTTAGCTGTGGTAAAAAATTATTAAAAGAAAGTTCATATAACTTTGTAATTTTAAGAATCGCTTGAAAAAATTTAAAGCTGGAAATAAGCAAAAAAAGTAAAAGTATACAAACTCTGTAAAATAGAGACACTGCTATCACAATTGCGTTAAATTATAACCTTTTAATAAGGTGATCCATTATACTTTAAAGAATCGATAAAAAAATTTCTACTAGCAAGAACTAAAAACTAACGCTGCTTCTAGTTATAAGCAACAAAAGTTCGAAGCAAATTTCCTTCTGAACAATAGAAATGACTTGGTCTAAACACAGACTGAACTCAGCAGCCTTATTTAGCGGCTTATAGCGGCTTATATAGTCATGTCTTTTATTCCCCATCGCCTCTATATTGACCAATCTAGTAAAGAAATACTAACTTTTGTAGGCATTTCATACATGTTGAGCTGCTGAATAAAGTAGTAGGGGGTACTTATATATCATAGTACCCTCACTCCAAGACAGCGGTTGACCCACACAATTTACAAAGTGGCAATATCGTAAAAAACGAAATACTAACTGTTCACATCGAGAATCTCAAAGTAAACACTGCATACATTAAGAGTCTTGATGTAACACCACTCTAGTTTTTGATTCTAGAAAAGTTTATATCCCAAATCTAGAATAAATATTTTTAATATGTGCGACTTAGATGAGCAGTGTCTTATACTAACTCAGCGAACTTAGATATGTGGTCAATATTTGTGAAAATTGTATGTTAGCACAATATGAATGATAGCAGTTATTAAATTGTACAAATACCGATAAAAAACCGTAGAAAAAGACTTGCAAAGTCAATTAGTGAAAATTATAACTACTATTTTTACTATTTTTTCTAAAGAAAAAAATTGCAAACAATAGATGTGAACGAAGTTTCCGAACTAGTTTAACACAGATTTTCAATGTTCATACTTTTAATTACCCATGTAAATGTCATGAACGTAGAAAATTTTTGAATTGATCTTATTTAATTTGTTTTGCATGTGTTGCAAAGTAAGTTCTTGATCAAATTGCAATGTACTTAATAGAAATATTAACTTAAAATACAGACTCTTACATAAGTGATCATTTTACGGTGCATTTGAAACTAACAAATTACCTGATGATAAAATAATAGATACGGATGGAAATTTTACAGGAAAAAAAGAACTCACACTTAACTTCTGCATTAAATGATAAACTTATTTTTACATTATTTTCATACAAATTTTTTTATTTTTTAAATATGGCATCGGTCAGAGAAATGTATTGTTGTAATTATCATTACAATATTAGTATCATATTATAATTAGTTATAATATTATAACTTTAAATACCATCCGAATTTGGAATGGTATTTAAATCATAATAAAATTTCATATTAAGCCATTGTAGCTCAGTGTTTCAGGTTATGGTTCTTGTATCTCAGGATCATGGTAACACAGGTTTACAAATTCAGTCAATGCTTTTACTCATATAGCTGACACCTCTGGAAAACTAATTTTTCAGGATTGCATTTCCAACGATTATGCTTTCACAGCAAGACAAAGTCGTATGCACAGTTTATCAGAATATCTATAAAACAATACCTAATAAAATATTACTATTAAAATTACAATTTAAAATTCCTCAATAACTTTCCCAAAAAAAAAAAAAGTAGGAATATAATTTATAAATCTCTCATCATCTCAAACTTGCTCAGTTGTCCGGAGATCAATATAAAAAATTAATGAAAATTTGGATAGTTCAGCAGGGCTATGTATTATTGAAAAGTATTGAATTTGTCCAATATTTGGACAATTTCATAGTGCTATTATCAGGAACTTTATACAGTGTAAACAAAAATAATTATAAAAAACATGCAAAATATAATAAGTACAAAAGGTTGCTCTTAATGGCTTACTAACAAAAATTTTTTTTATTACATAAAATGAATGGTCAAAGCTAACATTGCATATATATATATATATATATAGCCTTTTGTAGCCAAACAACATATTTAAAACTTCAACAGAATTTCTCAACGTACTTAAAAAAAATATACATGGGGTATTCTTTTTAAGATTTGACCCCCCTTTTTGCAAGAATCGAGGCATTAAAAAATTTTTTTTGTGCTCATTTTATAACTATTGGACTACACTTTTTGTTGAAAAGTGGCTCTTCATAAAAAAATGATATGGATTATGACATATACAGGTCATGTGATGTAGTGTTGTGCAAAAAATTTGTTAAACTTAATATATGAGATGTAAAAATGAGTTTCTTTACATCAAATGATTATAAGAATATGTATTTTGGATCCTTATTTGAATTTCACATCCGAAATACCGTACAAGGTAAACATTTTTTTTTACCTCAAAAATCCCCTGAAAATTGTGATTTTAAAGCTTAAAGTTGAATTTTTGACAATCGATGTAAACAAAAATAATACATTCAACAACGATACATAAATTCTTATTTATAATTGAAGATACTTTCCAATGCCATAACATTACAACTTAAAAAAATGAGGATATTACCAGTTACATTCTTGTTTTGAACAAAAATATTAATTTTGAATACAGTTTTTGCATGTTACTTTTATAGTTAGACTAAATTTTATTTTTTCAACTATTTTGCAATGTCAGGACTCTATTCTAACCTAAAAAAGTTAGAAGTTTTACGTTCAAGTAATTAATAGACATTCTTTTAACCGATATAACAGTAACGTATAGAGTACTCGTACGAAATTTAAATTACCAAATCCAACATAACTATTTTTTTTTACTTACACAGTATACAAACCATAAAAAAGCAGTAAAATTATTGTTTCAGGTAATAAGTACTGTTATAGAATAATATGCCGATGTTTAGATTGTATTTCTATTAGATACTTCCACTTAATTTATGTTTGTAACTTAATCAGTCAATTCTAATATTCTCATGTTGGACAGGGATGAACAAAAAAAATTCGAAAGATTCAACACCATTCAACTAAAACCTGGGAGCCGTACAGAGTACGCCAGCTGAAAAGATAAGTGTTTCATGTAACAAACTTACAAATAGGGGGCTCAAGTAAGCAAAACCGTTTAGAAGGTCTGCAGTTATAAGCCCTAAAACCTGAAGTTGTGTTCCCAACTACACAAAGTTGAAGCCTTTTTTTTTTAAAAAAGCAGGATTCAACTTCAATACTTAAAGCAAAGATAGGCTGATGATAGCTTTGTAAAAGCAAAACAATCTATCTTAATTACGGAAAGGCCAAATATTCATGCATAAAATTTAAATAAGCCAGAACCACGAAGCCTTCTGTAAAAGAGACGCAAAGTGCTCTAAAGTGCCCCACCATAAAAAAAGAATTGGATCATTACAAATTCAACAATTTTCAGTGAGGTAAATAAATACGTTACTCCATATTACGACTTTAAATTATGAATCATGATAACTAAACCGTAAGAGAAACAAGTATACTTAAAATAATATAGTTTTATTGCTGTAACATAATATCTATCAATAAGTATTATGAAATTTTCAATCAATGTGTAACCACGTTATAATAATTACTTTCAATTACAATGAAAACTCAATACCATGACTATCTCTTAAAAACTGCTGTATGAGTATTTTTTATCATTTAAAATATAGAAAGCATGATTTTTTTAAATATCAGGTACAGGCGCAGCGTTTCACATACCTTATTAATTGTTTATAATATACTTTACAAAAATAAAAAAATTTTACATTTTTGAAATAATTTCGTTACCACTTAAACAATGATTCTGCCATGAGAATAGCTTCTGATGGTTTAGCTACGAGAACTGCTCTGTAAGCTTTTCTTTTAAAAGTAGCTTCTATGCCATCATAACTACTTAAACCATGAGCAGTAGTGCTGTAGTGCCATTCTACTTGCAAGCCAAAATTGTGTTTGTTGTTTACAAGGTTTGCAATCTGATATATATTTTTAAAATTTTGTTTGGCATCGTCAATCATACGTGTAATATTAGTTGCATTTTTAGATTTGTGTTGATTTTGGAAATCAGTTGCTTTTGTATCCTGTTGTTACGTTGTAGCTCTTTAACGTAACATTTGTGACCGAGTATTTTAAAGTAGCGTGCAGCGTGCGAACACTAAATTTGGTTGTGTTTAGTAGTGTTTCAATGCAATTAAAATATTAAAAGTAATTTCCCAGTATCTTTACGTATAATGGACGATTTATTGTCGAAAACTCTTCTGCGACGGCCGTTAAAGAAGCTAAGTTATTTCAGTGATACTTTATACCGCAAGAATATTAAGCTTAATTAAATAATTAGCGAAACTTGATTTTATTTAGTCAGAATATTATAAAGGTAATCGAAGCAGTTGGATGAATTCTAAATTAATACCGACTACTTGCTTACTGATCGGCTGCTATTCCAGAAAAAATGATAAGCCCACAGGGCGCAGTTCTATTTTAACCCAAAATCGGATCAATAATCGAGATTGAGACTGAAAGTTAGTCAGGAAATGAAAGTAAATTCAATTAACATATTCCTGGAAGAAAGATGCAGCTGCAGTCCTAAGCCAGATGTTGAATTTGACGGGAATAAAGTTAGGGAGCATGAATTTTTGGTAAGCAGTCAAGTGATCGATCGTGCGTTGGTATTGATTCGTGGGTGCGGCCCTAGATAAGGGACACGAAATGGTATTTATTACGGACAATAGGTAGACGTCACTAGACGTGACACGCCTCTACAAGTTTTTACTCACCAGTCAAGTTTATGCACGGCAATACATGCTTACGTATTACAAATATATACAAAACATATTTTTACATAATTTGAATATGGTAACATTTGCATGAAATATTGTTTTAACATCCACAATATGCGCAAGTAATAAATAAGAGTTATATTATATCAAAACAAGTACCGTGAAAGGTAGCCGTATGGTTATAACGCTATAATTTGTATGTATGTATATATTGTTTTTTTTATTGTTGCCATTATTATTTC